CGATTGAGCACTATATAAGTAAGAAAAATATATCCACTATCTCAACTGGAATTTTAAATAAGGGCAGTATTTTCAAACTCATATTCTGCCTCTCTTTAGGATCAACATTGTCACTACAGAACCTTCTGAATCAGAAAATGGATTAAACCAGAAGGGCATTTTCAGAGGCAATACTATGTCCTTGTGCTTTCAACTAACCCTGACATTACACATGGGGAAACTCCATCCCTTGTCCTTTGTGTGGGATCTTCTCCAGATAAAGGGCAGAAACAGGGGAATTATCTCCTCAAGTTTAAAAAAATAAACAAAAAAGAAGCAGCCCTGAAAACATGCTTGGACATTTGCCACAGCAGGACTAACAAAACATGTCAGGACACACACTCTGTCTCCTAAGCTTCTTACCTCAAGATAACACTAGGGCATAGGTCCATGAAATCTGCTTTCACCTCTATGGCAGCACCTCACATCCCTTATGTTCCACACATTTCCTAGTTCCCTAATCAAAGCCTAAAGGTACGAGGATATACATACTACAGGCCAAGTTAAGCATGGACCAAGTGCTTCAGTTTGGACACTACTAGTACAGGATAAGGGCTAAGAGATGATCTCTCCTTTCTCTCAGTTTGGGGTGCCACAGTGAGGAACTGTCCCCAGCTGTTCATGCCCACACATTCTGCAAGGATGCAGTATCTTCTGAGGCTTTCTGTTCCTCTGATTCAGCTGAAATTGGCTAATGGATTTAAAAATTGTTGGGGCAGTCAAGGAAAAGGTGATGACAACATTGCCAGAAAGGCAAGGAGGTAGTGATAACCCACAGCCTTATTTCCTTAGGAATTCTGGCTAAATACAGCAAAATAATCAAAAATTGCCACGACATTGACATTTTCACATAGGAAAATGTCATACCTCAGGTCACTAAAAAGAATCCAATCCAGTGCATTCCCCAGTGGGTATTTCCCCATTTCTAAAGTACTAAAATTCCTGCAACTTAGACTCAGTATGTCACAGGATAGAACTGGCACAAGGCAAAATATTATGCAGAGGAAACATTTATGAGACAAGTTCTCTCTCTTTCTTTGTTTTTCAGACAGCAATGGATAACAAGTGGTCACGGGGTTGAAGTGTTTAAAACCATTTCAAAGTGAAATGGATTTCTGGATAAAGTGTTTCTATGATCTGTGCGTTCTATCATGCAGCTCTGCATTTTATCAAATTGGTATCTTACATAAAGTGTAGCCAGTGTGACAATTTAGAGAATTTATCTGTATTATTCTTGATACAAGTCTGACATACAAAACCAGCACAATGCTGAATAGGTGCATGTATATATATACACATACACTGGGCTAGTCTGGCTTGAATCAAACTCCTTCTACACCAGGATTAATAGTTAATGAACATGTACTTAAATGGAACTCATTCAGAACAGAGTTTGCTCTATCTTTCCTCCCATGAGGAAGGAAGGAAGGCAGTTGAGGAAAGCCAGGCTACAATTGGCCTCCATGGCATAAAACAAGGCCTGGTTAAAAGCAGATCAGAGCCAGAAAGTTCCAAACCAGGTAGCCCTCTCAGTGCCCATTGATAGCCATCCCTGCAAAGTCCTGGCAGCAGAAAGTGATGCTGGCAAGCACTGTAGTGTCCACTGATGAGCCATGAATTCACTGCTATGTGCCAAGACACTGCACTTCCATCTAACACATGCCTTATGTAGAGACTCTCTCCTACAGTAAGTCTCTACCAAGGGATTAATTTAACTCTAAACCTTTAGAAACAAGTCAGTGCACAGGTTCCAACTCTGCACTCCACGAGTCCATATGGAAACCTTCTGATGAAAGCCAGCACTTACAGTTCAAACAGACTCTAAGAGCTTAGAAACACACAAGTGAACCAACTGAAAGCAGTGTGGAGTAGCATGTGCCTTGAATAAAGTCTATATGATAATTCCCATTTTCAGAAGCATCTAGCATTGCATTTTGTACTGCAGAGACAATTATTTTCCTTTAAATTGCTTATTTAGGGAGAGTAATCTATTTCCTTCAAAGCCTGTAATTTACATCCAAAGTCAAATCTGAAGTAGGCAGTTTGAAGCAGGAATAAACCTGAGATGAAGCCTCTGAATAAATAATTTGATTTACTGTCCTTTACATACAAAGCATCATTCATCATATGAAAACAACCTCTGTGAGGAAAACAGAAGGCTCGTTCTGAATCTCTGCACACACTTTTTTTGACAAACTGCTTAAAATGAAGTTTAAAAGTTTAGTGAAATGCGTTTTTTTGTTTTTGACTGAAATGTCTAAAGCAGCTTTGAGATGTCAGTATCTAAGTGATGTCTTTAATCAGCACTGATTGGATTAGTCAATATTTCAGACTGATGTCATTCTCTAGAAAACTGTACAAGGATTGAAGGTAGAAAAGAAGCCAAACAATTCAATGTTCAATACTTATAATTTTCAACAGATGGCACTTCATAGCAAGGAATCTCTATCGTTTAATTGAAAGGGAGCAAAAACAATGGGATGGCTGAGTGCAGTGACACGCCAAAGTCTGCAACAGAAAAGCCTAATATCCTTACATTTGAGAGTATAGTTCTATAAAACTGAAAGCACAAAGAGGAAACCTAAAGCCCAATAAAAACTCTCAACTAACATTCTATCTTGGATATTAATCACACTGAGATGTCCTTCACAAAGGCAGGATATTCCCATCTTCTTCTCTTCTCAGGCAGAACTTACAGCTAGAGTTAAATTTAAAGACACCAAAGAACATATGCCCATCAGACTGTGGTTATTGCTGGATACAAGCTCAGAAGAGAATATAGAATCCTTTTAGTAATATGACTTGGAGAGTGCAGTCTTGTGGAAAACTTTACAGGCATTTTGATGTCTAAAGCTCCACAGAAGATTTTTAGAACCATTTATGAGCTAAATAAACAAGAAAGGCCTGGGAGCATTGCTGCCTCTGAGTTACAACCCACGTTACACTTCTGTCTGAGTGGATGGTGCTTACTAGTGAGAGTCACAAAAGGCAAATAAAGTGACAACATTTAAAGAAATCCATGGGGAGTTATCTTCAGTTACTTGATTGGCAGTTATACAGAAAAAGTCACTCTTCTTGGATATGCACAAAGAACAAAATGATGCAATGAAATGTGATGATGACATTCCAACAGGATACACAAAGTCTTCTTTCTAGTAAAAATCTGAGGACCATGTCTTGGTCTGAATCCTCATACTGAACTAAGAAGTTATATTCTAAGTCACCTGTATTTCAGATGTAGTAGGCAAGCTTCCATTTCCTAAGTTAATTTATAGAGGACTATGTCAGCAGCCACAATCAAGCAGCACTTACTATGCTAGACAAAAAAAAAGGAATATATCATTTGTAAGAGGTGTCAGAGTTTACATCTAATCAGATGTTACCAACAGCATTCACTACTGTTAAAATTATTCATGCCCATATGTAGAAAATATAGGCACATACAACTAGAGGATTCCCAACTCAAAGTGGTATGCAAAAAAAAAATAATTCTCAAGACATCTGACCTGAATCCTTACACTGATGTGACAAGTCTTGGAACAAAACAGCTTTTATAGGCACACAACTGTATCAAAAGATTTTACTAAACATTGTTTTTCCCAGAAACATTTCCTGGAATACATAAAACCTTCTGTAAATCTATCCTGAGTACCTAAATATCACTAGAAATTCCACACTGCATTTGAAAGCCAAGAGGTGTGCTAATAAAGCCACACAGATTAAGTTCCCCCTTGAGCACTATGCAAGGGAAAACTTTAGATGTAGGAACATACAAGAAAGGGTAGTGTTATACCTCTTGTAGTTCAAGTACTGGGCGACCAAAATCCATGATAGCTACATTCCTCTCTGCTCCTGCAGGAGGCATTCTTTCTCCTGCTTGTAATCCAGAAATTTAGGCACTTAAGCATCTCATTCAGCAGTCAAGAAACAATCAAGTAGCAGTGGAAACACAGCACAAATGCAGCAACTAGAGAAACCCAAAAGATTTCAAGCCAGATATTGGCCTTGTCAGGCTTTAGAGCTCTCATGAAAACACAGCTGTAATTTTAGCACATTTCTCCCCTTCACTGGTAGCAGCAGATTCATCTCTTGCACAGATGAAAAACTCCATACCCAGATGAATTGAAACATGAGCTGTTCACACATTTAGAATCAACTGACCTACGTACTTTACAGTAGATTCTAAGACTGATCAATAATTTTGGTGTCAAGGAAAGCCTTACTAATCTGATATTTACAAACTCTGCTCAGAGTGAAGAAGTTATTTCCATACAGTTTCATCCAACATTAATGCTATAAAAATTTAAGCCTCAATTGATTTAATTAGTGAAAGACTTCCATATATCTGATTCAGGCTGCTTCCAGTCTTCTCCTATTAGCTCTCTCATGTTTAAAGCTTTGAAAAGTTCCAGGCGATGACTGCAAAGAGAGGAGAAATAAAGAAAAAAGGTCATATGTCTTGCAGCATGTCTCTGAATAAAAGGCAGTATCCTCAGTGTATGTAATCCAGCTTTATTTTCAGGTTTTCTTGGACAGGAGTGTAACCAACATTCCATGTGGTTATGTTGGACAACACTCTCAGGCACATGGGCCAGGAGTTGGACTAGATGATCCTCAAGGGTCCCTTCCAACTCTGATGATTCTGTAATATTTTCCAAAACCTGAGTTTATAAATAAAAAACACTACTGTGTTTCTTACAATCTTGCACTGGAAAACATGGGGCAAAATCCTCAGCTATGAACAAGCATCACCAAGAAAAGTGCTCACCTTTTAAACTGCCTCAATTTACGGTGCCTGGAAGTGTCATCAGAGCAAGAGCACAGTGACATCAAGAGCACAGTGGCATACATCCTGCTTGATGATGTATCCACGCTCCAACAGAGCAAAAATTTACAACTCCTGACCCACTGAAAAACCCTATCACAAGGATATCCTTCCCTTACAGAAAGGAGGAAGACTGGATAGTATAATGAGGCTGATAAAGATACTTTTTCCATAAGACTAGAGGTGTTGCTTTCTTTTAAACACTGCAAATCAGTTCCTGTAAGGGATTTCTCTTTTAGGCTACCATACAGAAACAACAGCAGGAAGGCACCAAAGCCAATTGCTAATTAATACTTACATTAAACAACTGCCAAACAGTAGACAGAACATCTGACACTACACTAATCATTTCAAAAGGTGAATGGAATCCTCTTATTAGGAAGCAATTTGTAAGAATAAAGACAAACTAAGAGTAATGAAAGCAGCAAGGAACAGCTCTTCACATAATTGCATCTGCTACCAATGTCTGAAAAAGACAAGGGTTTTTTTTGGAAGGGATACTACAAAAAGGATAGAATCCCTTCCTGAAAAATAATACAGACATTCTGCATTTTACTACATAAAAAAAGATGTATGTTTCTTACAGAATGCTGATAATTAGCATTAGCTTAGAATTTTTTAAAATAAGCAGTTGCAGAAGCTAAGTTTTCCTTAAATAAAGACAAAAAAGGGTGATTTTTCTAAAATTTATCTTACCTGTCACTGTGTGCTGAGCAACAAGTTTGCATAAGAACTACAATGCACCCTCTAGAGCTAGTTCATTTACACAAAATGCCCAGAGGTAACAGGTTTTATCAAGTCATTTCAGCCTCACAGTTAAAGAAAATAAACATGCCCAAAGCACAACTTGAAAGTCAAAATTCTCTAGTCTTTGTATTGATAATGGGTATTCTTTTATCATACTTTTTGAGTTATTCTGCCTTTTCAATGTTTTCCACAGTATTGAGCCATCTGTAGAGGTGAGTTTAGAACACCAGGACAGAAGCAAAAGATTTACTGGAAGTGTGTTTGGTGAAATTATTACTAAATGGCATTTCAGGAGGTGCTGGAGGCAAGGGAAAAGCAGAACAACCTATCTATGATTTAGTTGAGGAGGGTGATAAACCAGATGCCAGTGGTGTTGAATGCATCATTTCCTGTACACCTAGGGATAAGATGGAAATCAAGCACTAATTACAGCTATCTCCCACAGTGCTTTATACAAAGTGCAGCACCAGTAGATCTGGAGCTAAGCAGCATAATTAAAACACTAGTGGCACTCAATCCCAAAACCAGATTAGCCTTCTTTAGGTATGCCAACAATAGTGCAACTGTATTACACAAGAGCTAATTTTATGCTTACAAATCTGGTATCTGTCCTTCCTGCAGTTCATGTCGAGGCACAGGATAAAGTGCTTCATACTTTCTCTCTTCTCCAGAGCCATGAATTGCAAATGAATTGAACTTGTTAGTGCATGGTGGGAAATAATTCCAAGGAAGATGAGCTTTCCCCTCCCATTTAGTTTTCATTCTGGTCACCTCAAATTCTAAAGGAAGTTCTTCCTGTTAAAGGAGGAAAATAAAAAAAGAGGTGATGTCATCTTCAGAAAACAGGTAGGTAAAATAATTAGCTATTCAGCACATTATGAATGTACTTGACCACTTACTTTCCAGACTTTTCTTCTGCCAGAAAGCAACAGCAGCAAGTGTTGTCCATGGCTGTCAAAAAATCAGTACAATTTTCTTAAAATGACAAGTTATTAGTGTGCTGTTCTGCCACAAATATGCACATTCCCCATACTGAAACAATTTCTGTACCTAGTCATCTCATACATAGATTTTACAAATGTTAGAACTGGAAGTGTAAACTAACATCTGTGACTTTTTCAGAGTGCTGTACTTACGGACAGAGCTCAACTTCCAAATACTGCTCAGTCCTGTCACTCAGGAAAAATGCTTCTACAACTGAAAAGAAAAAAAACAAAACAAAACAACCAAGCTGTCAGTATTTCACATTAACTATTTTGCAATATGCTGAGATCTTCATGTCCTATTAAAACAACTGTTTCCATGATTTTTGGCCTGTGCCATGCCAGAGCTGGACTTGCTGTGTAAATGCTACTGACGGCTTCCTAACTATTGGAAATGCTCTGACAATTCTAACACCAAGAGCTTATATTTTTAATGCCTATGACCACAAAAAAAAAACCTTCATAAAGCACTGTACTAATTTTATTTACCAATTCCAGCTTTGGAAACACTCACCTTGATGCAGCAGAAAAACATGGCAAGTGTAACAACTAAAGGTAGCTCTCCCTGGAGTAAGAAAGGCTGATGCACACAGTCATTTCATCTGGTATTCTTGCTGTGAACAAAGTTGGCCAGGATACAGTGATCCTAGTCAATCACAGTCCCAGCAGGCACTCCAGGTACAGCACTTAAGTGCACAAGTCTTGTGTTTGCTGTAGCCTGAGGATTCAAAGCACCAGAGACCAGGGAATAAAACGACAAGAAGAGGCTCACACACTCACAGCAGAGCACACACCCCATAGCCAAGGCTGCTAAACTTCAGAAACAGTAAGAAAGCATTTAGCTCATAAAAGGTTTTACCTGGATGCATGATATTTTGGACAGAGAATTACTGTTCCAGGTGTATCTTAGAGGTGGACAGAGAATTACTGTTCCAGGTGTACCTGAGAGCCACATATTACAGCTGAATCACCTTTCAGGGTCACAAAGTAGAACTACAACAGTGTTTCTCACAGCAATGACATTATTAGAAAGCTTTAGTTAAAACTATTATTAGATATGACTGATATCTTTATTTATTTTTATAGGAGCCTAATATCAAAGAGGTAATAACACTGGTTTAGTGGAGCTTTAATCAGAATAGCTCAATGATCAGGAAGTAGAGATCTGCTGGAAACATTCTGTTCTTGCATTATTCAAAGCAACAGGTAAAAGTGAAAGTATGGGCAGGAAAGGAGAAAGAAAACAGCATTCCTATAAGAACATTCCCTATTACATTTGAGTACAATTTTGGACCATGTTTTATGAGCTGCAACTTATGTGTCTCACATGTTTCTATTCCTCAAAGAAACTCTGGATTAAAGCACTTCACTTAAAGCAAAACTAGAGTCTGTCTTTAGGATTTCACTTCTATTTACCTACTACAAAGGCATTTATATATATATATATTTTTACACCACAAATATGTCAAACCATTGTCATTCTACAGGTTATACCAGTAACCCAACACCTAAGTAGATACTTAAACTATTGATAGGATCAGGAAGAGTCAATCTCGTGACTGAAATCAGCTGAGCTCACTGAATTCCAACCCTTTATGGCCACCAAGTGACCTAACATGTTCTTTTCCCAGTCATTTGGATTGTTGCACTACTGCAAACCAACCACTCACCTGATGGTCAGCAGTGCTAGTGATGAAAATCAATTCACCACCTACAAAAAGAGCATCACTCCTAATCACTCTAGGGTGGTTTTCAGCTGAATAGAGCATGAGGCTCACAGTTACTTGAGTAGCTGCTTAAGGGTAAGGCTGTGATTGCAGCTAAATTCTTTCCCAGTATTCTTTCCCAGACAGGATAAAACAGAAAGGGAATTCTTTGCTTTGTATTTCAGGCCTGACCTGTAAAAGCAGCACTGTGACCAAAGAAACTGAATTAGATGTCATAAACTCACAACTGTCAGATCAGTTTGAAAGAACAACCATCACAGACTCTTACATAAAGACCAAGCACATTAACTACAGAGGAACATCAGTGTCTACAGAAATAAGGTAAGTCACACTTACCTTCATAGTCCCAGAGTCCACTGAAAGGTTTCCCTGGCTCTCCAAGTGGTGCTGGAGGGTCATTGAAGAAGGGAGCATGAACTTCCAGCAGCAGCCCTGCTTTATCTGGCTTCAGCCCAATGGTCACTGGCTCATGGCTCACAGGTAAACCATCCCATGTGTGTTTAATTGCAAATTCCATCTTCACATGCTGCAGAAATGAGAAAGAAAAGTTCTGTGAAATAAGATCTCAGATTCCATCTCAGCACCAACTGCACTGGTTTGCTTGCCCAGGAAAAAAAACGCTTTTATACAAAGTCAATTATCAAATGATGCTTTTACACATCAGAACTGAAACAGACTAGCTTTGTAAAAGCAACTAAGTAGTTACATGAATGATGCTTTTCATAGGTTTTTTAGACCTGCAGGGTTACAAATCACTCTGAACTATGTATCTAAATAAATACCTTCCAAAACCACCAGAAATATTTATCAAGAGAACAGATAAACAAAACACACCACATGATCATAGAATCATAGACTTTTAGGAGATGGAATGGACCTTGGAAATCATCTAGTCCCAACTCCCCCTGCCATGGGCAGGGACACCTCCTCACCAGATCAGGATGCTCAAGGTTTTATCCAACCTGGCTTTGAACACTGCCAGGGTTGGGGCATCCACTACCTCTCCGGGCAACCTGTGCCAGTGTCTTGCCACCCTCAAAGTAAAACCTTCTTCCTAATACCTAACCTGAATTTTCCCTCTTTCATTTTGTACCCATTGCCCCTTGTCCTGTCACTGCAGTTCCTAACAAAGGGTCCCTTTCCAGCTTCCCTGTAGCCCTTTCAGACACTGTAAGGCTGCTATGAGGTCTCCACGCAACCTTCTCTTCTCCAGACTGAACATCCCAAACAGCAACATCACAAAACTAGATTGAATAAAACCTTTCACAACTGTGAGATACAAGAAAATGAAGTGATTTGCTAAAAATTTCCTTCCTGGTCATTGTAAACCAGCCAAACTATGGGACTTCAAGGAAAACCACAAGCATATTTTGTTAAACACACTGAACACTTGCAGAGCAGTAAGAACTGAGGACACTGCACTCCAACAGCTGCTGTGACTTAGGAATAACTCCACAGGCCTTAAGAATAGCCTTCATCTATTTAATAAGTAAAAGAACCAGTCACAGAATCATCAAGGTTGGAACAGACCTTTGAGATCATCAAGTCTAACCACTAATGGACTGAGTTTGTAACTAGTTTATGGCCCCTTACCCTCTCCTCCTCAGTACCACGATTTCCTTCTCATCTCCACAAAAGCAATCCTTGATTTGTTCCCTTCTATGTTCCCAGCTGTACAAGAAGGGAACTGTGCATAGCTTGTCTGAGAATTATGCACACAGAGTCAAGTCCTGTGACCAGAGAGGTGTTGGTTCAGTATCTAAACTGTAATCATGTTTGGTGGGAAATCCTGGATTGGATTACTTTAGCTATATCCAGATTTTCCCGGGAATCACAGACCTCAGGAGAATCTTACCAGGAAGGAAAACACTATTGCTGCTTGCCACTGCCATCACCTCACATCTCACCGAGGGGATTCACCTCTTCTAGCCCAAACCCTCTGCAAGGAGGGCAGAAACAAGCAGGAAGCAACTCTGAGTCGCACCAAGGCTGGAAACCAACCCGAGCAGCTTTCACTCCCTTCAAGCCTTCATTCCTACACACAACAACCACGAGGCTCTACAGAGCCCTCGCTGAGACCTCCGGAGGGGAAACTTTAACCCACGAGTCCCTCGGAGAAGCTGAAAGAGGGATTGAG